ACCAGGGGCATCTCATGGGGCCCCCTACTGACCCGAGTTTCCAAATGGTCTGTCCACCCCTGGTGTAGAGTTATTCACCCTGAGGTCATCACAGAGGACAAGGGGGCACTCTTTAGGTCTGGAGGAAAAGAAATGTAATCTCCAAACACGGAAAGGTTTCTTTGCAGTAATAGCTGTGAAAATGTGGAATAGATTCCCTCAAGAGTTGGTTCTGGCCAGCTCAGGGGATTGCTTTAAAAAAGTCCTGGATTCTTTCTTAGATACACAGAATATAACTGGATACTAACATTTATAGGTAAAGTTCATCCAGGGAATATCCGATTGCCTTTCGGGGGATCAGGAAGGAATTTTTTCCCCTGCAGGAGCAAACTGGATCATGCTTTGCCTTCCTCTGGATCAACTATGCATATAGGATAATAATTTTTTTTACTGGTTGAATTGGATTGACTTTTATCTTTTTTCAGCCAGACTATGTAACTATTTATTATTTTATTTATAGTATTTTACTTATTATTTTCTCATTATTTATTTATGTTTTGTTAGGGTAATAATAAAATGAGTAAACGTAAAATAAATACACAAGTAAAAAAAAATCATAATAAATACTAGGTATTAATAAATAAATAATAATTAAGCCTAACCCTTAAAAATATAACAAATTATTATTATTATTATTATTATTATTAATAATAATAATAATAATAATAATAATAACACAAAATAAACACCTAAACCCGAACAACAAAAAACTATTAATAATAATAATGAATAAATAAATGTAAAATAAATGCACAAATAAATAAAAATAATCATAAATAAATACCTGTAATAGTAAATTAGTATATTAATAATAATAAATCCATAACCTTAACCCCAAAACCTAAAAAAGTTATAAAATAATAACAATAATTATGCGGTACCGCCCCTTGATGACGTCGTGGTGACGAAACGCATTGGGCATGGCCTACTCGATGCTGACGTCAGGACGTTCTGTTCCCAATGTGTGTTGGAGGTGATCCGCGGTGAGCGGGGATCTTCGTTTGCTCAGTTGCTGTGTATCGCTGATTAAGCTGGTGTCTGTCTGGACACCTTATTTGTGAGTTCCTTGGAAAATTTATTAAATATATAATTGTTTTAAAAAAACGTATTGCACCATTATGTTTTTTCTTTTGTCCTGAGTGCACCTCAGGCATTATGGAGAGATGGATTTGAATGGAGAGATATAATATGAGATCTCTGGCTGCAGAGTATTGCTTCTGGTAGTGATATGCTGTTCTCTATGCCAACTGCCATTATTGATCATCAGGATTTGATTATTTATTACATCTAATACCTGGATATCGATTCGTTTCACTTATCGCTCCAGAGCACAAGTGCTATTGCTGGTCTATAATCTGATCAGCATTTAGCTCTGGTGAGTTTATTTAATTCATTTGATGGTGGATTATTCACAGTTCACAAAGGATTTTTGATTGATTTTTTGGACTTGCACAGATTTAATATGGACACTTATTTATTTGGTGATATATATATTTAGCGCATGCCTATTTGATATATTATTACTATTTTTCATTTAAAATTTTTTCCGTTTGAGCAGAATATCGTACAAAACGTGTGCAAAAACAAACACGTCAATCACGTGTTTCTATACTTTCTATGGGAATAATAACGCGCCAAAAACGTGCACATCTGCCCAAATTGAGCTACAAAAGTAGCTCCAAAACTTTTTTGAGTTTCCGGCATTCTGCTTCAGGTGACTTGGACTGGAGATGTGAACCATCTCCACAGAGTAATATTGATTATGAGTGTTTTGGAGCATCGAGTTTCACGCTACAAAACGCTCAGGTGTGAATGGGGCCTTATAAGGCAGAGTGAAGTGCTTTATAAACTTTGAGGCTCAGAAGCCAGCCGAGCACTAATAATGCGAATTGAAGTGAAATTAAAAAAAGCCAAGGGCGAGAGCTTGGTCAATTGACCTGTCAAAGTCACATGACTGGTTCTCCCTAAAGTATTTCTAAAGATTTTTTTGTTATTCTTCCCTGCTCTGTGCACAGAGCGGCCTCAAACCTCCTTTTCTGGGGTCCCCTGCCAGCACTCTCAGCTCCTCCTCTTCTGTGTCTGCCACCATAATAAGCCACTTGCTATGGGGACAGATGTACAGGCTCGATTCTGAGCCAGGCTGTGTGCATCTATTGACACACACAGCATGGCTCGGCTCCACCCCCCCCCTTCTTCTTCACTGAATTTGACTGACGGCAGCAAGAGCCAATGGCTCCTGCTCTGCCTGTTAGTCTCTGTGAGAAGAGGGGGAGAGAGAGAGAGGAGAAGACTGTAGACGGGCACAGTGTTGGATCGATCCAGGCGTGTATAGAGGGGGGGGGGGGGGCACAGCAAGTCCTAAGACATCAAAGTAAAAAGTTTTAGCTTTAGAACCACTTTAATGCACAGAGGTCCTTCTGGCAAGGCTGGATTTACATCTCAGGAACCTATAGGCAGAGAATTCTGAAGCGCCAACTTTTTTTTCTTGATAAAATATTTTAATGAAAATACATGTGCAGAGGGGAATGCGGCAGACTTTGATGTAAAGGAGAACTCTGATGTAATGGGGTCTCTGGTCACCAGAACCTCCTCTTATACAAGAGTCCCCAGAGTTCCCCTTACATCAGAGTTCTCAGAGTTCTCCTTTACATCAGAATCTGCAAGGTTCCCCCTTACAGTGCAAGGGGGACCTCTGTTGGCCCTGATGTGAAGGGGAGCTCTGATGTATTGGGGTCACTGGCCCCCTCTTACACAAGCATCCCCAGAGTTCCCCTTACATCAGAGTTCTCCTTTTCATCAGAATGTGCAGGGTTCCCCATTATAGTGCAAGGGGGACCTCTGTGGATCCTGATGTGAAGGGGAGCTCTGATGTAATGGGGTCTCGTGCCCCCTCTTACACAAGCGTCCCCAGAGTTCCCCTTACATCAGAGTTCTCCTTTACATCAGAATCTGCAGGGTTCCCCATTACAGTGCAAGGGGGACCTCTGTGGAACCTGATGTGAAGGGGAGCTCTGATGTAAGGGGGACCCTGTGGACCGTGATGTAAAGAGGCGCTCTGATGCAAGGGGGACACTGTGGACCATGATGTAAAGAGGCGCTCTGATGTAAGAGGGACACTTTGGACCGTGATGTAAAGGGGAACTCTGATGTAAGATGGTCTCTGGTCACCAAAGCCCCCCCCCTTACCTCACAGTCAGCAGTGTTCCCCTTGCATAGCAGAGCAATACAAAGCAATGTACTTATACAGTGAAACACAAACAGTAAAAACAGCACACAGTTAACCCTTTGATCGCCCCAGATGTTAGCCCCTTCCTGCCAAGTGCCATTAGTACAGTGTCAGTGGTTTTTATTAGCATTTTTATTGGTGTCACTGGGGATGTCAGTGACACCAAGTCAGTTCCCCCCCCCCCCCCCCCCCCAGTGTCAGAATGCTCGCCGCAGTCCCACAATAAGTCGCTGATTGCTGCCATTACTGGTGTGAAAAAAAAAGAAATCCAGTATATATACCACCATTTGTAAACGCAATAACTTTCACATAAACCAGTTAATTTACACTTATTGGGATATTTGTTTTAGCAAAGACATGTAGCAGAATACATTTTGGCCTAAATGTATGACGAAATTAGATTTTTAAAATTTTTTTACTGGACATGTTTAATAGCAAAAAGTAAAAAATATTATTTATTTGTTTATAGCGCAAAAAATTAAAAATGCACAGGCGATCAAATACCACCCAAAAAAAAGCTCCATTTGTGGGGAAAAAAGGACATACATTTCATTTGGGTGCAGCCAGGGGTGGACTGACCATTCGTCCACCGGGGCACTGCCCGAGGGCCAGGGGTCAGTAGAGGGCCCCATGAGATGCCCCCGGTACCTTTCATAGGCTTTTTTGGGTGTGGTTTGAGTTTGGGCAAGGGCACAGGGGCCCCATGATTTCCTATTGCCCGGGGGCCCCATGAGTTGTCAGTCCTACCCTGGGTGCAGCATTGCACGACCACGCAATTGTCAGTTAAAGTAACGCAGCACCGTATAGCAAAAAATGGCCTGGTCAGGAAGGGGGGTAAATCTTCTGAAGGGCAAGTGGTTAATAGACACGTCGATCCTGCTGCATTTTTCTGCTCTGCAACCCATATCATTTGTTGTGGTGTGCTGTAGTGCATTGCATTTTGGAGATGCGTTGGGGCGCCATTCAGATTGTATACCCTGCTTGGTGCACACTGCTGTAGTGTGAGTGTTTTACTGCATGTTACTAGAATGCAATGGTGTTACTGAGCCTTTATTCCTCTACAGAAGTCAGCGTGCATGCATGGCAAACACATGTAACATATCTTTTTACACTAGCACTAATAAATGTCAGCTTTGCGTTGCTCCTCTGTTAGAAAATGTAGCAAATGCACTGACTCAGTGGTGGCTAGTGGTTTATAACAGCCTTTCTCAACCAGGGTACCCAGGCACCCTGGAGTGTCTTGAGGTTTCTTCAGGGGTGCCTTGGCAAAATGTCTAAAAACTACCCAAAACTTATATAAAAGCCAGTGGCTGCTTTTTAGTTACACAAAGCCACAGGTTTTCATTGTGCACCATTACGCCCTTCTAGCCGCCAGCGTCCTGACAACCAATGACATCATCAGTTGATAAGGAGGATGTCGGCTGTCTGCACAGCATCCTAGTGTGACCCTCCCCTGCCCCTCTCCATCAGTGCTGGGGTCACATTAGCTCAGTGATGGAGAACAATTGATGGAGAAGAGGAAAAATGGAATACTAGTCAGTACCAGTGTGCAAAAGTGTATTTGCATTGAAAGAATAAATCCCCTCTAATGTTGGGTGTCCTACATGTGTGGATGTTGCTGCATTATATAAAACTATTAGAATAGTTTTCACATTTTAGAATGGGGTGCCTCGGGACTGTCCATGATTTTAAAGGGTGCCTCGGGACTGTCCATAATTGTAAAGGGTGCCTCGAGACTGTCCATGATTTTAAAGGGTGCCTCAAGAGTGTCCATAATTGTAAAGGGTGCCTCAGGACTGTCCATAATTGTAAAGGGTGCCTCGAGACTGTCCATAATTGTAAAGGGTGCCTCAGGACTGTCCATAATTTTAAAGGGTGCCTCGGGACTGTCCATAATTGTAAAGGGTGCCTCGGGACTGTCCATGATTTTAAAGGGTGCCTCAAGAGTGTCCATAATTGTAAAGGGTGCCTCGGGACTGTCCATAATTGTAAAGGGTGCCTCAGGACAGTCCATAATTTTAAAGGGTGCCTCGGGACTGTCCATAATTTTAAAGGGTGCCTCGGGACTGTCCATAATTTTAAAGGGTGCCTCGGGACTGTCCATAATTTTAAAGGGTGCCTCGGGACTGTCCATAATTGTAAAGGGTGCCTCGGGACTGTCCATGATTTTAAAGGGTGCCTCAAGAGTATCCATAATTTTAAAGGGTGCCTTGACTGAAAAAAGGTTGAGAAACACTGGTCTATAAGACACTACTAGAGAATCCTCCTCCATTCATAGAAACTTTACTATAGCTTCCATGAATGAAACATGATCTATTAATGGAGGAAGAGTGGATGAATGACTTTCCTGTCTCCTCCATTCATAAATCATATTTCATTCATAATAGCTGTAGCACAGCTTCTGTGAATGGAAGAGGGGGGGTTGAAAAGGAGGAGCATAGCCGGCACCCCCGATGAGTGCATATGACAGATCCATCGGCTCTAGTGGGCTCTCAGAAGATTAGGGTGGTGGAGGTAGTGGGGTCCTGTGACAGATGGAAGATTTCAACTAAATCTCTAGATTGTAAGCTCCGAGGATCAGGCCCTCTTAACCCTCTTGTATTGAACTGTATTGTTGCTGTAGTGTCTCCCGTTATATTGTAAAGCGCTGAACAAACTGTTGGCACTATATAAATCCTGTATAATAATAATAATAATAATAACTCATGTGAATGTACAATGTATACGTAAAGTGCTGCGTAAATTGATGGCGCTATATAAGTACCTGAAATAAATAAATAATAACTAAATCACAAGCCAACAGCACCAGGGCCACATGGCACTTATTGTGAATAATGCCCCTTGCGCTGATTTTTTTACATTTTATTTTTTTTCTGTAAACTTTGGCTTATGCAGGCCATAGACGGGTCGAAAATCGGCCAATTTTTCGTCCAAAAAAAAAATCAGCCGATTTTCGCACTGTTAGTGGGTTAATTGGTCGGCCATTTTTCGGGGTTTTGGCACCTTTTTTTTTTATCAGTAAAGTTGGAAAAAAATCGGTTGATTTTGCCCGATCGGCCAATTTTTCCGGCAATGATGGGCAAATCGGCCGATCGTTTTACCAATAAAAAATCTGCACGTGAGCCGTGACCTGCAAGAAGAAGAAGAACAAGAAAAAGAAGAAGAATTCCAGCCCGCTATTATATTTTATATGAAAAGTCTTGCGGTTGCAACAATGTATCTATTTGTATCCGAATAAAAACATCTGTATCCAAAATGGATACAAATGGATACATTGTTGCAACCGCAAGACTTTTTCATGTCAAATATAATAGCGGAGCTCTATGCAAGGGAAGAAGTAATTAAATGCCGGCCGTAGACAGGATGAAAATCGACCGTTTTTTTAACCATTGGTGGCAATGTCGGCCTATTGAATGACCAATTTTTAATTTTTTTTTTTTTAAACGGCCGGTTTTCGACCCGTCTATGGCCTGCATTAAGGAGATATGCTTTCAACTGAAGAGATTTTGTTCTCATTATAAGAGGACCTGTCATGTCATAAGTATACCTGATGACTCCTTGCAGATACAAAAGACTATGATATGACCAGAGGCAGAAGGCTTACCATGTATACGTGAAGTAAAGCAAGGCTTCTAAGCTTCTGTCTTTTATGTAAAAGATGTAAATTCCAAGTCATTATTTATTTTCACTAACTAAAGGCATTGGTGTAATTACTCCTCTAAATCCCAATAATCGTATGTATCTCCAGGTTCACCCATCTCACTAATCTCAAGCTCCAGGCAAGGCAGGCGAGAGAGAGAGAGAAAAAAAAAAAAAGGATTCAAGTTTTGTATACAATTAGCTTTAATGAATGTCAACTAAGGGAACCCAAGACACAGCTTGGAGAACTGGAGATGCAGGTTATACCAGTGAAAGGGTCATTGTGCTACATAAGCACATTTCATGACAAACTCCTCAATTACAGTGCCACGCTCATTAACTTCCAGGGAGAAAGTATAACGGCCGCTGAGATGGGGTGGGCCGGGAACACCGGGAATGAGAGGTCCCTGTTAGAGTCCCCAAGACACATACTTGCCAACTCTTCCATCTTTAATAATAGACACAGTACAAGCAGGGGTGGACTGACAACTCATGGGGCCCCCGGACAATAGGAGATCATGGGGCCCCTGTGTCCTCGCCCACAATCAAACCACACCCAAAAAAGCCTATGAAAAGGAACCAGGGGCATCTCATGGGGCCCCCTACTGACCCAGGGCCCTCGGGCAGTGCCCAAGTTCCCAAATGGTCAATCCCCCTGGGTACAAGGAAACAGTTACATGCAGGCTGAATCAAAAATCAATAACCACATCAAACACAAAAATATAATATTTAGAAGTTTACTTGTCCTAATGGTGGCCATTAGAGATGAGCGAATTATTCAAAAATTCGATTCGGCTGATTCGGCGAATTTCAGGAAGAAATTCGATTCGATGTGAATTTATTCGCTACGAAATTAACTTATAAAAAGGGTTTCTAGGCTTCAGAGAGCCTTTAAATTAGTGCAGAACACTGTACCTTTAATTTAAATGCCCTTGGAGATGAGGAAGGAAAAGGAGAAGGAGAAGGAGAAGGATGAGAAGAAGGAGAAGGATGAAGAAGAGAAGAAGGAGAAGGAGAAGGGAGAGAAGAAGGATGAGAAGAAGGAGAAGGAGAAGGAGAAGGATGAGAAGAAGGAGAAGGAGAAGGATGAGAAGATGGAGAAGGAGAAGGATGAGAAGAAGGAGAAGGAGAAGGATGAGAAGAAGGAGAAGGAGAAGGATGAGAAGAAGGAGAAGGAGAAGGATGAGAAGAAGGAGAAGGATGAGAAGAAGGATGAGGAAGGAGAAGGATGAGAAGAAGGAGAGGAAGAGAAGGAGAAGGATGAGAAGAAGAGAAGGAGAGAGGAGAAGGATGAGAAGAAGGAGAAGGATGAGAAGAAGGAGAAGGAGAAGGATGAGAAGAAGGAGAAGGAGAAGGATGAGAAGAAGGAGAAGGAGAAGGATGAGAAGAAGGAGAAGGAGAAGGATGAGAAGAAGGAGAAGGATGAGAAGAAGGAGAAGGATGAGAAGAAGAAGGATGAGAAGAAGAGAAGAAGAAGGATGAGAAGAAGGATGAGAAGAAGGAGAAGGATGAGAAGAAGGACAGTTCTGTGACAGTTTCTGTCTATTTCTGACAGTTCTATGACATTCACTCCATACAGCGGTTTCAACCGCTGTATGGAGGGAATGTCACAGAACTGTCAGAAATAAACCTATTTCTGACAGTTTCTGGGACATTCAGGTCCATACAGCGGTTGAAACATTGTATCTATTTGTTTCCATAAATGGATCCATTTATGGAAACAAATAGATACAATGTTTCAACCGCTGTATGGAGTGAATGTCCCAGAACTGTCAGAAATAGACTATTTCTGACAGTTCTGGGACATTCACTCCATACAGCGGTTTCAACCGCTGTATGGAGGGAATGTCATAGAACTGTCAGAAATGAGAAGTCTATTTCTGACAGTTCTGGGACATTCACTCCATACAGCGGTTTTCAACCGCTGTATGGAGGGAATGTCATAGAACTGTCAGAAATAGGCTATTTCTGACAGTTCTGTGACATTCACTCCATACAGCGGTTTCAAACCGCTTTATGGAGGGAACAGAACTAGTAAATAGTCTATTTTCTGACAGTTCTATGACATTCCCTCCATACAGCGGTTGAAACCGCTGTATGGAGTGAATGTCCCAGAACTGTCAGAAATAGCCTATTTCTGACAGTTCTGTGACATTCACTCATACAGCGGTTGAAACATTGTATCTATTTGTTTCCATAAATGACATTCTGCAGATACACTTAGAGGAGCTCTGCAGATACACTTTTTGCCGGCTTGGAATTATTCTTATTTTCATCCTACTTCTTTCTTCTTCTTCTTCATTCATCCTCTTCTTCTTCTTCTGAGGATGAGGATGAGGATGAAGAAGAAGAAGAAGAAGAAGAAGAAGTAGGATGAAAATAAGATTAATTCCAAGCCGGCAAAAAGTGTATCTGCAGAGCTCCTCTAAGTGTATCTGCAGAATAGAGGAGCTCTGCAGATACACTTTTTGCCGGCTTGGAATTATTCTTATTTTCATCCTACTTTCTTCTTCTTCATCCTCATCCTCTTCTTCTTCTTCTGAGGATGAGGATGAAGAAGAAGAAGAAGTAGGATGAAAATAAGATTAATTCCAAGCCAGCAAAAAGTGTATCTGCAGAGCTCCTCTAAGTGTATCTGCAGAATAGAGGAGCTCTGCAGATACACTTTTTGCCGGCTTGGAATTATTCTTATTTTCATCCTACTTCTTCTTCTTCTTCTTCTTCATCCTCATCCTCATCCTCTTCTTCTTCTTCTGAGGATGAGGATGAGGATGAAGAAGAAGAAGTAGGATGAAAATAAGAATTCCAAACCGGCAAAAAGTGTATGTGCAGAGTTCCTCTATTTCTGACAGTTCTCTGACAGCTCCTTCACATGTACAGCGGTTGAAACATCTGTATCCTAAATGGAAACTAATAGATACAATGTTTCAACCGCTGTACATGTGAAGGAACTGTCAGAGAAATGTCAGAAATAGCGGAGCTCTCTGCAGGGACACTTTTGCCGGCTGATCGGGAAAAATCCGATTCGCGCACCCGAAGTAGGCAAATATTCGGATTCGACGCGAATCTAATTTTTCCTGAAATTCGTATCGAATTCCGGTTCGCCTGGTTCGATTCGCTCATCTCTAGTGGCCATACATGGAACAATTTTTTATGCAATCGTTTTGTTGATTCATTTACTGTATGGAAGAAAAAAACAGTCAGAAGATGGATCAGGCACTAATGCACCAATTAAAATTGTTCGATACGATCGGTCCTTATGTTCTAAATCAAGGATCTCTAAACTTTTGAAACAAAGGGACAGTTTACTGCCCTTTAAACTTTCGGTGGGCTGGACTGTGGCAAGTGGGAGTAAAAAATGCCCTGACATTGGTGAAAGTAAACAATGCCATAAACTTGTGGTCGGTGGGAGTAAAAAAAAAAAAAAAATGACATCATTGGTGTAAGTTGGAGGAATAGTGCCCCGTCATTGGAGTCAGTGGAAGGAAAAAAGCCCCATAATTGGTGTCAATGGGATAATTAGTGCCACATCTCTGGTGTCAGTGGGAGTAATAGAGTGCCTTGATAAAGTATTCATACCCCTTGAAACTTTCCACATTTTGTCATGTTACAACCAAAAACGTAAATGTATTTTATTGGGATTTTATGTGATAGACCAACACAAAGTGACATAACCCTGCTTTTAAACTTCTCCACAACTTTATCCCAGACCTGATGGTGTTTGTTCACTAATGT